CAGATAATCAAAATATCATCAACATATCATGCTATAACAAATGTTCATTAAGAATTTCTCTATTGCTTTACCTTCCAGATTTCTAGTTAATAACTCACATGAACACTCCTTGAAAGGGTACTTCCCATTGGAACACCACATTTCTGTATATATGTTTGATTGTTAAAAGTGAAAAAAGTGTGGTTATACACAAGCAGCTAATTAAAGTTATGCTGTTACTGCATCATATAACACCTAATGCACAACTTTTGATGTTGATTGTTTTTTCTATTCATCATTTCTATTTTAAGTTTTGAGTTATATTTATTTTAAATATTGTTTATATAACTTTACATATGCAAATATCTAATTATTTTTATTTCATTCTATGAATGAAATTAAAATGACATTTTTTTAAAAAATGAAATAAAGAACATCAGATTAAACATTGAAACATTTAAATTTTGGAGTACTCATTAAACTGTTTAATTTGAAAGTGTAGAATCTGAAGCAGGTTATAAACTAGGCTGAAAACGTTTTTTTTCTAATAAAGTATTGCTGGAAGATGTAAGGATGGAGTGATATTGATTAATGTTAAGATAAGTTCTAGCTTTGGACAACTCATTGCTTAACGAAATTTTCATATAAATATTAAATTCTTTAAAATATATGACTATTATTAGTTTAACAAGTTTAATTTATTTATTTTGATTAACATTTTTGAGATTTTTTTTTATGTTTCATCTTCAGATTTATTAGAACATCTAGTTTAAAATAGTAATATTCTTTGAACATTATGTTAAGGAAAATAGGGTAATGTTCTTAAATATAGTTTAAACTTGAAAGAAGAAATGTTTAAACTAAATAAAAGCACTGAATCAAGAATGTGACTAAGTCACATTTTAAAGAAACAGAACTGAATACTGTTCCATAGTAATTAAAACATACCAAAGTCAATAGTGAACTCAGTTTTCAAGAAAAAAATGTATCTTTTTCTCACTGCAACACTGAATGTTTTCATTTTCCTACACTTTTGTTTGAGAAAGTTTACGTGAGATCTGGCAATTAGCATTTCAGCTACATTTCATGTGACTAAATGGCTGTATACGTGTAGATGTATCACAGAGGCTTGTATTTTTTCTATTTTCTAGTGGGTTATTACTAAGTTTCAAGTACAAGTATATTTTTATTATTGAAGTTAAAGAGGACAATATTGATAACTGTCCAGATGTGGAAGTGGAGCATAAAAGTAGAAAAAGGATAATTTTTTCTGATAATTGTTTTTCACAAAGCAAAAACAAGTATTTATTTGTTTTTCCTGTGGGATTTATGTATTAGCTGGAAATATAGAAAAATCTGAAAATTTATCCCAGCATAAATTGAAAAAATTCTTTATTTAGAACTTTCAATGACAATAACTTTTACTTATACTATACAAAGCAAAAAGCTTTTGTTACATACAAAAAAAGATGATGTAACAAAACCACCAGAAATGTCCTTGTGAACAAACAAAAACTTAACTTAAATCTAATGCTTATATCTATTAGAGCTCAAAAAACAAGGAGATAGACTAGTTAGTATTTTTCTGAAAACTAAGTAAAGGAAGCAATAAAAAATGGTTGGAGGCATTAATGGCATAACACATGTTTGGAGTTCGATCCCCTATGCTAATCGCTCGGTGCTGCTCAGGATATGTCCAGTCGGAATTTTATATCTCTTTCTTTATTTACCAATATACATATACAGTAGAGCCTCGATTATCCAACCCCCTATCAATCGACCCCTCGGTTAACGGACCGTCCTAGTCTGCAAATTTCAAATGTCCGCTATTGATGTGGTGCTACAATATTTGGCTATGTCTGGGCTACTTTAATATTATTTTTACGTGTTTTAGCTGGCAACACTGGATCGACCATGAAAGGGAGCCAGTATTTAAACGAGACTTAACTTTCTAATTTTTAACAATACAATAGTGATGATTATTATTTAAAAAAATTTTTGTTAGGCTTAACATCGATGAAAATTCAACGCAAAGTAGGTTAATAGCGATATACTAATATACTAATTACATGGGATATAATAATATACTACAATAATAATAGATTTTTTTATACTTTTCGGTTATCCGCCATTTCAATTATCTGACCACCCCGAGTCCCCAATTAGGTCGGATAATCGAGGCTGTACTGTATATATATATACAGTAATGTACAATATTACAGCCCAACATCGGTTGAAGGTTTTAAGTTGTTTGTGCTGCGTCTGTTTCCTGTAGCTGTTCCTTGGAAAGTGGGTGACCAGTTCAAAGTTTGCTTTTTACTTTCCTTGTGCCCTCTATCATCAGAATTGGCCCGTAGCCAATGAGCGCTACAGTGTTCCCCCCCAGTGACAACGATATAGACATCAGAGGTATCGGGGGTTGAACCGGACATGACGTCCTGACCGGGTCGTGGTGGTTGGTGCTTGTGTTGGTGTGACAGGGTTGCTTGCATTGTTGACTGGTGGAGTGGATGTATCGTTTGCAGTTGTTTCGATGAATGCTGGTTTGAGCCGATCTATGCTGATGACAGCTTCTCTGCCTTATATTAGTACGGTGAAATGTTTATTAGATCGTGTAAGGACTTGATAAGGGCCATCGTAGGGAGCTTGTAGGGGTTTTTTCACAGAATCGTTTCTAACAAATACGTAGGAGCATTCTATTATTGAGGGATGTAGAAAGGTGATAATTTTGTCATGTGCGGACATTTGGACTGGAGAAAAATTGTTCATAATATTGCGGAGGCGCTGAAGAAAGATGGGTGGCTCAAGGGAGTTATTATTTGTCGGTTGTATGAAGTCGGCAGGTAAACGTAGAGTGGTGCCATATACCATTTCCGAGCAAGTGCTCCCGACGTCGGGTTTAAATGTGGAACGGAGCCCAAGCAGAAATGTAGAGAGACTTTCTGTCCAGCGGTTGTTGTCACTGCATCATAGGGCTTGTTTGAGTGTGCGGTGAAATTGCTCTACCAGCCCATTTGATGATGGGTGATAGGGGGTTGTGCAAATTCGTTTGATTCCAAACAGGGCAGTGAGTGACATGAAGAGTTGGGACTGAAACTGTCGTCCCTGGTCAGTCATTATAATGGAAGGAACTCCGAATTGAACTACCCATGTTGATATGAATGTTTTCACTACCGTTTCTGCCGTTATGTCCAGGATTGGTGTGGCCTCTGGCCAGCGTCTGAATCGGTTGACACATCTAAGGAGGTACACGAATCCTTCTGATGGGGGAAGTGGTCCCACGATGTCCATGTGTACGTGGTCGAATCGTTGCTTGGGTAGGTCGAACTGTTGCAGTGGGCTTCGAATGTGGCGGTTGATTTTATTCCGCTGACAAGTTATGCATGTTCTGCACCATTGATTGGTATCCTTGAGCATGGCTGGCCATACAAAACATTCCTGAATTAGTTTCCGGGTTGCACGAGTGCCTGGGTGGGAGAGATTGTGAACGGAATTGAACACTTCACAGCAAAAGTTAATCGGAATATATGGTCGTATCCTATTATTTGACGTATCACACATGATTTGTAGTTTGGAATTGAGAGTGAGAGGTTGTAGCTGTAAGGAAGATTGTTGGGTACATTTATAGTTTTTTAAGTTCTTCATTGTTGTTTTCCTGTGCTATTGCGGTGAAGTCTAAGGAAGAAGGTAGCTGGATGTTGTTGATTCGAGAGAGAGTGTCAGCTACAGTATTGTCAGCTCCATGAATATATCTGATATCAGTGCTGAATTGCGCAATGAAATCACGTTGTCAGAGTTGTCAAGGAGAACAGGATGTAGATTTTTTATTGAGGGCAAAGGTGGTCGATGGTCAGTTAGAATAGTGAAATGTCTTCCCTCGAGGTGATGCCTAAAGTGTTTGATGGATGAATACATGCCGAGGAGCTCTCTGTCATAAGTGCTGTATTTTCATTCTGCATTGGACGACTTGCGAGAGAAGAAGGCAAGTAGACATGGACCTTGGTCGGTATGGCATTGCAGAACGGATCGAATGGCAAGGTCCGATGCGTCGACCATCAAGGAAAGTTTGCTATTACTCGGTTGAAATGCAAGCATGGCCGCTTTTTCCAAGTCGGATTTGCACTTGTTGAATGCAGTTGTCATCTCTTCGGTTCACCAGATAGTGCGTTTGTCGTTTTTTCTGCTACCTTTCAAAATATCGTACAGAGGTGCTTGGATAGCTGCAGCATTTGGGAGAAAGCGATGGTAAAAATTTAACATTGCCACGAAACATTGTAGTTCGGCAATTATTCATGGCCGTGGAAAATTTTTGATGGTTTGAACTTTCTCAGGTGAAGGTTGTATGCCAACGGGAGTGATTAGGCATCCGAGGAAAGGTACTGAGGTCTGACCAAGGACGCATTTCGATGGGTTCAGGGTAAGTCCATGTTCTTGAAGTCGTGTGAAAACTTGATGGAGGTGTTGTAGATGTTCGTCCTTGTCTACAGATGCAACCAGGATGTCATCAAAATATGGGACACAGAAGTTAAGTCCACGTAGCACTTGGTGGATAAATCGTTGAAAGGTCTGTCCAGCATTTCACAGTCCAAACGGCATGAATAGATACTCGTATAATCCGAACAGCGTAGTTATGGCAGTCTTAGATACGTCCGCTGGATTGACTGGTATTTGATGGTAGGCTCTTGCTAGATCTAGGGTGGAAAATATTGTCTTCCCATGTAATAATTGCATACAGTCTTGTATGTGTGGCACAGGGTATCTATCAGGGTAAGTAATTGCGTTTAAGCGGCGATAATCCCCGCATGGCCACCAGTCTCCATTTGGTTTTCTTACCATGTGTAAGGGACTGGCCCATGCACTCTTTGATGGCTGAATGATTCCCTGTGCCATCATGAACTCAAACTCTTTGCGAGCGGCAAGAAGAGTGTCTGGAGATAGACGACATGGTTTGCTAAACACAGGTGGACCCTGTGTTTCTATGTGGTGGTAGACCTGAGCCTTTTGTTTTGGTTTGTCCAATCTTGATGGATTAGTGATATTAGGGAATTGGGCCAAAAGTTTGTGGTATGGTGAGTCGCCAGACATGACTGTGATGCTAGTGGAGGCTGGTAGCTTCTTCATTGTTATCCTTTTGGATGTAAGCTTAGTTGTGGCATCAATCAAGCAGTTATGTTTTATGTCGACAAGTAGGTTGAAATGTTTCAAAAGATTGAACTTAGGATGGGTTGAGCAACATCAGCGATGATAAAGGGCCAGCTAAAGGTTCAACGAAGATTTAAATTTATCGTGAGTAGTCTGGTTTTGTATGTTGAAATTTGAGTGCCGTTTGCTGCATAAAGAGTGAGTTTTCCTGGATGGATAGGTTGAGCTGCGAATTTTTTTGGTATGACTGATATGTCTGCTCCTGTGTCGACCAGAAAGTGAAGTTTGGATGAAGGTTTGGCCATAAAGATTCTATTGACTTGGCATTTGCTCTCTGTGGCCACAGGGAGCTGCCTGTCTAGTTTCCCGATTTTTGGAATGAACAAGGTGGGGTGCATTTTTTTTACATTTGCAAAGTTAGTGTGATAAAAGCATAAGCCACCTTCTGATTCTTTGTAACAGTGTCGCTCACAGGATGGACTTCGTCCATGCGAGTCCTGGCGATTTCGGAAATTGTATCTTGGACGATGTTGGTATCTTGGTGCTTGTACCAGGGTAGCGAGTTCATTCACTTGCAATGTTAATTCCTGTATTTGTTTTTCGATTGGATTGCTAATAGAGAATTGTTCCTGTTGGCTGATTGGCATGTGGTTTATGATGGTAAGTTCGTGTATTTTATCAGCCATTGTGGCAAGTTGTGGCAGAGTTTCATTCGAGGCTGCCAGAATAGCTTGGATATTTCCTGGTAGTCTTCGAAGCCACAGCAATTTTAATAAGTCTTCACTGAAATGACCATTGGCGAGGTCACGCATCTTAGTTAATAAGTGTGATGGGCGCTGGTCGCCCAATTCAAGTCCTTGTAATAGTGTTTGCAATTTGGACGTTTGGCTTTCCGAGTATATGTTAATCAGCCTTTTTTTTTATAGTGTCGTACTTGTTATTTTCAGGTGGCTTAGTCACCAGGTCGTGTACCGGTTCTAAGATGTCTGATTCTATTGTTCAAATAATGTAGTAATATTTGGTTATGTCGGCGGAAACATTAGCGATGGCAAACTGGGCTTCGAGTTGGGCAAACCAGAGAGTGGGATTGTTCTTCCAAAATGGAGGTGGCTTGACTGCCACTCAAGAGATTTGCAGAACACCGGCTGACTCCATTATATCAATTGATGAAATTTTCCAAAATAAAGATATAAAATTGTTACTGACCTTCTTAAATTACAGGAAATAGTTAAGTTTTGTTTTTCTGATCTTGTGATTGTACGATGGAGATGGATTATCCTTGTGGGGCACGTGTCTTCTTTATTTGGCTCACCAGTTTTGAAGTTCGATCCCCTATGCTAATCGCTCAGTGCTGCTCAGGATACGTCCAGTCGGAATTTTATATATCTTTCTTTATTTACCAATATATATATATACAGTAATGTACAATATTACAGCCCAACATCAGTCGAAGGTTTTAAGTTGTTTGTGTTGTGTCTGTTTCCCGTAGCTGTTCCTCGGAAAGTGGGTGACCAGTTCAAAGTTTGCTTTTTACTTTCCTTGCGCCCTCTATCGTCAGAATCTGCCTGTAGCCGATGGGCGCCACACATGTTTACATGAGCTTGATAAATCTTGTAAAGTTCTTACTGTAATTAATGATATGAAGGAATGCATCTACTTGTGGCACAGAAGATTAGGACATTGTGACATGAACTCCATAATTTTGATGCACAATAAGCAGTTGGTTACATGAATAAATATTCAGAAATTTTACATATTTAAACCTTGCATCAAGGCTAAAATGATTACTAAGTCTTTTTGAAAGAAATCAGAAACCAAAATGTATCAATTACTTGGATTAATACACACAGACATATGCTGCTCAATGTAAACAGCAACACTGAGTGGCAACACATAATTTTGATAAACGATTACTCTATGTACACCAAAATATATCTTTTTATACATAAGAGTGAAGTATCCAATAAAATAAAGGGAATATGTTAAATATGTACGTACAAAATCTTGAAAAACTCCACAATAAATCAGATCCAAAAGAGGAGGTGAATTTTCAAGTACAAACTTATAGATGTTTTTTAAATATGAAGGTAGACTGTGTGAAACTATGACATCTTATTCCCTCAACAAAATGGAGCAGCAGAAAGGAAGAATAGATATCTGCTAGAAATTATAAGATGCACATTAATTGAGCCATTCACAAGCCAAATCGATTAACTTCACATTTCAAACTTTTTAAAATTTTAGTGTCAAAGCACTTGATATACTCATAACTTTTTATATTCATAATAAGTTTCCCTAATAATAAGGATCACTACCACTTAATGACAAAATTTTATTGGCCATTGAAATTCAGAAGCCAATCTAATTAACTCCATACTGTAACATAAATCAGCCAGCTTACACTGCAGCATTGCAATCGCAGTGTGTGCTGACCAGTGCCTTGTAGATAACGGTAAATTATTTAATGTTTTCTCATCATAAAAAGTGAGTAAAATAAATTAGTTAGTTACAGTCACCTGCCACAGAAATAAGTATACTTGTGGAATATTGAATGATTGTTTTAATTTTGGTGGCAATTGTTTTTAGGGAAAAAAAATGATATCATTATATTAAGATGGATGAAGCTAAAAATAATTTTTTCATCCCTCCTATTAAACATGATTCTTATAAAAGTTTAAAAACAAATCAACGTAATGGTACCTCAAATACAGCTGATAAAGAAGACATCATGTATGTTGCTGAATAATCAATTTAAACAAAATAATAATAACAACCATTATAACAGTTATTATTCATTTTTGTGAAAAATCTTTAATTTACAATAAAGAAGTTTCTCTATAATAAACTATATGAAAGACTGAATTTTAAGTTATGTTTTTCACTTGCCAAATTGATTAACTCCCTCAATCACACAAAAATTGTAATAGTAATAACAATTATAGTATATCTATGCTATCTTATATATTCTATATGTAATTAAATAAAAGTTACATCTACAATAATATATTCTACAATGTTTATTTGAATTTATATTTTAAAAGGAATTTTAAAAAAGAATGTATATTATTTTGTCACCTTTTTCCACTCNAACAATTATTGTATATCTATGCTATCTTATATATTCTATATGTAATTAAATAAAAGTTACATCTACAATAATATATTCTACAATGTTTATTTGAATTTATATTTTAAAAGGAATTTTAAAAAAGAATGTATATTATTTTGTCACCTTTTTCCACTCTATTTTATGGAATTAATCGCTTTGGCAAGTGAGCAGCACAATTGATGCTGGATTACCCAATGAATACTGGGAGAAGTGGTAAATAATGCAAATTACCTATAGAATAGATTAATTACTAAAGTGAGTGAAACAACTCCATATGAAAAATGGCATGGAAAGGAACCAAACCTCTCACATATAAGAATTTTCAGATGCTCAGCCTATGCAATTAACCATAAAGAAACACAAAAGAAACTAGAACTTAAAGCCACAAAACTAATTATTGTAGAATATGAGAGAGCATCAAAAGTTTATTGATTAGTTGACACAAAAACTGATAAGATAACCATAAGCAGAAATGTTCACTTTCTGGAAAATGGCACACACAAAGACTCCAAAGTTGATATGCACAATAATAAGCAAAATTTGAAACAAGTAACATTTCAAAGAATGGATCAAAACTATGGATAAGGAAATAATAGCCATAAAAGCATAACAGCATCTGGACAACTACAAAACTATCTCCTGGTAAAACTGCAGTAGGAAATAGATGGATATACAAAATTGAAAGAGACAAAACAATAAAGTTAATCATTTTTAAGGTTCATTTAGTCCCTCAAAGATACACACAAAAGAATGGCTTTTATTACAATGATATACATGCTCCCATGATCAAGACTGTCATCTTATGAATGCTCCTAACTATTGCTGGAATTGAAAACATGAAAGATAAACATTATGACATTGAGAAGACTTACTTAAATGGAGACCTGTTACATCAAGTATACATGAAACAACCTGAAGGATGCAAAGAAGGATCACTTGGATTTGGTTTGCAAATTTGAAATATTTAGACTTAAATATGTAAAGTACTATTTTTAGCTTATCCGCTCTACAACGAATTTTGTTCCGGAAAGAGCCAGTACCTAACGGGTACTTTATGCGGGTTTGCGTTTGTTAGTTTGCCAGGTCTGGACTTTCACGTGCACCGAAATAAAATTAACGACAAGTTAGTCAGAAAATCAATAAAAGTATTTAATAACGAACTAGGAATAACTATGTACAATATTTATAACAAAACAACAAATTTATTCAAACAAATAAAATCCAAAAGTCAACCCGACAAAATTCAATCTTATTCTAACTTAGAACTATTCCCCTTGGAATTCCGACAAAAATCAATCCTTAACTTAAGGTACAGAATTTCTTACAACTATAAATCCTAACCGTCACCTCAATTATACTAGGAACCTTTTTCCAGCTCAAGACTTTCCTATTCTTCGATCCACAAATTGAAAACTGCAAACGCTTTGGACTATTTCCTATTGGACACCTCGTTCACTGCTACCAACAGACTACGCTTAATCCTTTCAGGAGCTCACCTCTGCTTTCTTCACTTGAGCTACGCTATTTATAGTCTGAGGTGACGTCACAGTTTCTAAGTGAGACACTCCCCTCATTTACATACTTACACGTAACATTCACTTTTTTCTTGTTCATCTCGTAGCTTAATTCCCGACAATACTTTGTTAACCTTTTACAGTCTTTTCGTGAACAATTATTGGGATGTTTCCTTTAAGGTTTAACAAGTCTCCTAAAGTCTGTGGGTAATTCTCCCCCTTTCAGTGCGGGCTTGCTATCTGCCGCTCAGGCGTGCACATGAGTGCAGTTGCTAGCTATGGCGCTTTTTTTTTTTTTCGTCGGTGAGTTGGTTTTATCTTCTCTTTTTAACTTTCTAAGGTGATGGGTGAGGAAACCTTCGTCCTAACTAAACATAAGCCCCAAACAAAATATAATAAAAGCAAAAGAAAAGTAAAATAAAAATAACGCTCGAACTTGGTTCCTTACAAATAGACTAATTAGTAATAAATAAATATGAGCCCACTGGTCTTATTGTTATGATTACAGATTCATCACACACTTTTCTGATTTTTATTCATTAATTAATGCATGATATCCCAGAATGCATTTCAGCTTATTTGACAGTCCTCTTCAGCCTGATTACATATATACCTTTTGACAATATGATATTATTATTAAAAACATATGAAAGAATCTAAGAAATGAAAATACAATATACATATAAACTGACATTTATATTAGTATGTAACTAACCACATACAACATTATAACAACAATCATAAAAAACATTCATAAAAATTGATGTTAAAGTTAACCAAACACGTGGTTATTTATTACTAATTAATAGATAATAATAGATTGGAAGCATATTTCAAACTTAAATAGATTGTTCATAGAGCATGGGAAATGTTGGTAAAGAATTTAAAATGTTTTCCTTTAATTCTTCAGTGGACATGCCTTTTAGAGTTTTATGAAAGAGTGTGTTGTGACTATTATGCTGTATATATAAAATTAATTTATATCCTCCAATATATAACTTTTTTTAAAAAGAGAATAAAATAAAATAGGGAATAATCTTAGAACTTTTTATTGAACAATTTCAGTTATAAAGTTTCTAGATAATTAAAAGTAAGTTACTCCACTTTCATCTGTTTCTTATCTTCACATATGGCACATTTAGTGATCATATGACAGTGTTTCTTGAAGACAATTTACCACATTCTTGACAAATTAATTTTGTTCTATTATTCTTGTCTTCTACAAAAAGTCATCTATCTCATCAGCCAAATTGTTCTAAACCTCCTTCTAACTTCTTCAGAGTCAAAGCTGTATGAGAGCTAGAAACATCAAAGAAATATAGACATCCCAAAAACTATTTGGTATGTTTTTAAACCAATATAAGTATAAGAATTTCTTGAAACTTATGACATTGTTAAATAAAGGTATTTATGCAATAGGTAAGAAAAAGTAAGCTATTCTTTCAAATACATTAAAAAAATAAATAAAAAGTAAATGCAAATTATACTTTTAACTTACATAAATTATATAAACTCAGCACTTTGCTTGTAGCTTATTAACTTAAATTAAAAATCACTTTTTCAAATACTACTGGACAAAATATTAATCATCACAAGAACAACAGAAAACTATCTTTTTACAAAATCATCTATAGTTGTTCATGTATATTCCAATACTAATCTATCTATATTGATCAAGATTCCATCTGTTTACTTTTCTACCCCCTGCTATAAAAAATAC